CCTTCCTTTCTCTGAATCAACACTCTGGCCTGTCTACCTGCCAAGCAGTGTGAATTTCAATAGTTTGCCAGAGGGTTAAAGAGACTGTGGCTTTTAAACTGAGATATGTTAAATACTTTAAAAACAGTTGTTGTTGTTTTTTTAATCTTTTGGCCATGCCACCCAGCCTGTGGGATCTTATTCCCCCACCAGGGATCGAACCCATGTCCCCTGCATTAGAAGCTCGGAGTCTTAACAACTGGACAGCCAGGGAAGTCCCTGAAAATCAGCTATTGTTATAGACGTGAGAACACTTTTTTTTTTTTAACATTTAAAAATACTCTACCTGACCGTGGTCTTTTGACCATGGTCTTTGGGGCCCTGGGTGGCTGGAAGGAGTTTTCTTGGGGTTACCCTAGGAATAGCTGATAGTAGAATTTCTCCATTTTCCCCCCTCCTTTACATATTGGAATTTTGCTCCTGATAAACAAGGCAGAATTTGGTTTTTCATTTTAATGCATTATAGTAGCTACTCAGTAAATATTTATTGAATGTTCCAATAGATTCAAAATATATGTGCTTAGTGAATTTTGGATTAACAGATGCTAAATGATGTCACTGCTTATGAATGCAAGCCAGACTAAAAAGATCTAGTTAACAAAAGCTGTAGGAATGACACAAGGGTGACAACTTTCCTCTTGGTACTGCCTTATGGGTATTTCATGCAGCATGGGCTAGTCCTCTTGGGGAAGAGAGGAAACTCAGAGGTGTTGAGGTCCTTTCATGACTTTTAACAGCTTCATGTAAACAGAGAAACCAAGCTAAAAGGCAATCAAACTCCTCAATCCAATGTGGCTGAAACCACAGAGGACCCTGAGGCTGTTTGGGAGATATGAGGATCCCAAAGAGATCTGGGTCAATACACAGCTCCTATCAACACTAGCTCAGTAGATTCCCTCTCTTTAAAGAATTTATTTATTTATTTATTTTTTAATTAATTGGATCCCTCTTTGAGATCCACCCTCAGCAATGCCCAGAGGCCAGATGCATTCTGGATGGCATCTCCCTTTTGTGCTAGCAGGACAACAGGAAGGCATGCCAACCCGAGCCCTAGTGAAAGCCTTCAAGGCTGAGGTCCTGAACGTTTCCTCTGTTTGTTGGCCACATAGGTTCCTGAACTTGCCACCATGCCTGTTTTACAATTTTCAAAAATCAAAATATGTAGCACTGGGCTTCCCTGGTGGCGCAGTGGTTGAGAGTCCGCCTGCTGATGCAGGGGATATGGGTTCGTGCCCCTGTCCAGGAGGATCCCACATGCCGCGGAGCGGCTGGGCTCGTGAGCCATGGCCGCTGGGCCTGTGCGTCCGGAGCCTGTTGCTCCGCAACGGGAGAGGCCACAGCAGTGGGAGGCCCACATACCGCAAAAAAAAAAAAAAAATGTAGCACTTTTATTAGAGCTATTCTTAACATGCGAATGTATACACATGTACACACACACACACACACACACACACACAAGCAGGGCATATAATTAGTGCAGATGATATACATAGGCTCATGAATGAAGCTTGTGCTGGAGACATTGCTGGACCAGCAAGTATGACTCTGCCCCAGCAAAGCATTCATCCAGTGAATATTTATTGAGTGCCAATTAATGTGCTAGGAATTGTGATGTGGATATGGTGATGACTGAAAAGGACAAAGTCTCTATCCTCCTGAATTTACATACCAGTGAGGAAGACAGATAGTATACAGGGGGACAGATCAAAGTTCTAAGAGGAGAGGGAAGGGCAGCAAGGCAAGCTTGTCAGGAGAGCCACGGAAGCTCTGTGATACGGTGAAGTTGGAGCACAGGCCTCAATGAAACGAGAGTGAGCCATGTGAGTGTCTGAGGGAGACCATTCTGGGCAGAAGAAACAGCAAATATAACGGCCCTGAGGGAGGGATATGCCTGACTTATTTAAGCAAAAGCCAAGCCAAGGAGGCTGGAAGGGATTGATGGAGATTAGCAGGGAACCCTTCAGGAACACATCAGAGTCAGATCCCATCGGCCCTGATCATGCTTTTGGAAGGTTATGAGTCAGGGAGTGACAGCCACGTGCACTGTGGTGCACATCGATAATCCTGGAAAGGGTGTTAGTTCTGACGATTGGGTGTCTTGCACAGACTTTTGAGAGGTGGCCAGAGGGCCACCATTCCTTGCAGAGGGTAAGTTCCAATCCCAGTCTCTTGGAGCTAATTCAGGAGTGGGCATCTTTCTGCCCACTGTTTCTCTCCTTCCTCCTTCTCCCCCCCACTCAGGAGCTGTCCCTCCTCAATAGACTTCTAGGAAAGGTAAACTGGGGAGAGGAGACAAAATGCAAAACACGAGTCTTTCAACTTGGTCCAAGTGTAGGTAAGGAAGGGCGAACCGACAGCTGATCTGAGGTCTGGGAAGTAGCTGATCCGTGTCCATCATTAGTATCTGCCCTTTTTGCTTTAGATTTGTGAATCCAGTCCCAGACTGGCTCTTTTTACTCATTTGTCAGTTTATTTTATTCTGTTATTTCTTTTCTTTGTTTTAGAGGGCTTGAACTTGCCCCTCTGGAGAGTAGATGTCCACATGCATCGGCCCATGCAGCCACGCCCCCGGGAGACACTGAGGCCAGGAAAGCAATGGTTTTACTTCTTTGCTTTCAAAAGGTTGTATTGAAATAAAGACCGAAGATAATATGGGAACAGCTTCTGCACAACACATAATTATTTGGCTTAGCAAATATTTTAAAAATAAGCTAGGAAAGTATAGGCACTGCCATTGACTGCCCCTGTGTTCTCACAGAGGAGAAAATACAAGGGAAAAGGGAAAGGTGGGATGTGATAGGGCTTCTCTCTTCATTCTAAACAGTGAACTCAGAGTTTGAAAAATACAAGATGAACTGGAAACCATTCTCTTGCCAGCCTCCTGCCTTCACTCCTCAACTTCACAATTTCTCCAAGGAGCCCTACCATGCCCACTTCCCCCGCCCACCTCCCTCCCCAGCCTCCCTCTCTCACCTCCAGCACCTCTCACCTCTCAGCACCACTGGAGATGGGAGGGAGCTGGGAAAAGCAGTTTTTCCCTGTTACACATGGACTGAACAGCTCTGAGAACCAAAATAGAATGAAAGTCCCCACGCCTGGAGTGAGATCCAATCTCCTGCATCTGCCTGCTTCCTGCCCCTCCAGGCTCACTTCTCCCCAGAGTGGGCTCCAATCCCCTTGGCCTTCTTACTGGGAGCTCCAGGCTTCAGACCTGCTGTGACCCCTGCCTGGAACATTCTTCCCCCAAATAGTCACTGGGCTCTCTTCCTTCCATCATTAAGCTGCTGCCCAAATAGCACTTCCTTCCACCGTGTGCCAGCCAGCGCTTGCCAGCCCAGCCACTCTCCATCACATTGCCTTGCTTTATTGTCCCTCGTGGTGCTCATCACCAACTAGCCATCACCATGTATTTGTCTATTCATTATCTGTCTCCCTCCCCGGGACACAGGCACCTCGAGAGCAGGGACCTCGGGAGTTGCTCCTGGCTGTGAAATTGTCCCTGGTGTGTGAAAGGTACACAACAAACTTGAATGAGTGAGAACAGGATTAGAATTTTTGTGAGTATAATACACTAGAAATTACTTCCCAGTTTATGGCATTCATTTTAGAAATGAGAAAAACGAGGCCCACCCAGAGAGGTCAATTGACTTGCCCGAGGTTACACAGCCAGTTAGCAGCAGAACCTGGGGCTAGAAGTCCAGGGGTCCTGATTCTCCTGGGCCAGTGTTCATCCTACCAAACCCAGCTGCCTTTGATTCATTTATATCCTCTCTCTCCCTCTCTCCTTCTTTTCCTTATAATGAACCACAAAGGAAATCTCAAGTTAATGATATTCATTAAGTTATTTCCTGCCTTAACATTTTGAGCCAAGGAAGGAAGGAAGTTTAGAGCTACTGAGTAAACATCGGTGCTAAGGCCTGCACGGCAGGGATTCCTACCAGATTTGATAGATGAGGACACTGGCCATCAGAGAAGGTAAGGAAGATGGCTATTTAGCTGGAGCGCTGACACCAGAGCCCTCTCTCCTATGTGTGTGGCTGGGCTCCCACGTCGAACCGCCGGCATCAGACTCTGTCTCCTTTCGAGTATCCCTGTCACTGTGATGCCCTGGAGCTGTAGCCTCTCCGATTCTTAATGAGCCACTGAGCTGTCCTTCATGAGCTTTGTGGCAGCAGCCCTACCTTTGATTCAGGGCTCAGGGTATGTGTGTTGGGGGTTGAGGGGAGTGTGTGGGCAGAGAGGTATTTCCTGGAATGATAGCTCATCTGGATGCCCATCCTCTGAGGGTTCCATGGACTGAGGTAAACTTGAAGACAGCCACCTTTCCCAGGAGTCACTCTCATCCTCCCTCATGCGTTAACTCACAGGCAACAGAAAGAGCAGTTGGATGTTCTAAGCTAGAAACCACTAGGCAAAACCACCTTTGAAAGTAACAAGCCCAGCTAGCACTGAGCAAATGTAGGCTCGGACGTGCATGTTCAAGCACCAGAGTGAACCAGCCGGTCCTGGAGTGGTGATCTGACTTGGTCTTCTCTTCTTCCTCCCCTCAATGCCACAGACATACACACACTCTCTCTCTCACACACACACACAGAGTTTTAGTTTTTGTTCAGAGGTAGGCAACCTCAGAGTTGGAACTTGGAAACACAGTCATAGGTTAATATTATGTGGAAGAGGGATTAGACAGAATCCCTGAGCAGCTCCAAATGCCAGAATGAGGCTCAATGGAGGGCGAGGGGGGTCACAGAGAGGTAGACTAGGGGCTAACATAGACAGAGACATTCTTATAACTAGAGCTGTCTGACGAAGGAGCAGCCTGCTTGGTGAGGTAATAGTTGCTGTAACTCAAAGGGTATGGAAGATGGCTGTACAACCTCTGATTAGGAATGCTGGGGGGCCCTCAGCATCCCACAGTCCTTCCAACTCTACGACTCTAAGAGAACTTGAAATAGTTTGCTTACTGTCAACTTTCGTTGAATCATTTGCTGAATCATCATTTCCTAAAGTCACTGTGACTCACACATTGTTCAAAAGCAAAGCTTTTATCTTCATACCCCAAATGCGTTGTTTGAATCTGTAAGAAAGAAGATAAATTTATAAACAGGGGGTTCATTTTTTGCCTTTAACTTACATATATTTCTCATATTTTAACTCTCTCCTGTGATATATTTAAAAAGAACATCACTACAGATAGTATGCTTGGACGGCACAGTCAAAATGTCCTCAAAACCCAGGGCGTCAAAATTCATGTCCTGCTCTCTGAACCAGCCAGATAAATCCTATTAGCCTAGAAATCTCTGCTCAGCACCCCAGACTCAGTTTACACCTGCCTGGGGCGACAGAGAGAACTCACTAACCTTCTTCTTACACAAGTAGGGA